GACTAGCTTCATACAAAAAAATAGAGAACCGGCACCCTAAAGGGGCCTCCTATGTTGGTTCCTACAAGGACCCCGAGTCCCACCGTCCGCCACTTTCGGTCTCGGCCCTTGGCCTACCATACTACCCCACGGGGCTTGGGCCAGCGGCCATTCGCTCTATACCCCACATGGGGAGTGGCCAGCGGCCCCAAGCACCTCATGGTGCGGTGGCACCTCTCCAAGGTCCACCCAATTGAAACAAGTGCCTCGGAAGCCTCGCTGGTCCCCACTTGGCGGGGCACCGTACTTGCCGCCGAAACCCATTGGACTGCGACCTCCAACGAGGTTGCCGCGGCCGTAGGGAGCTTGTGAACCCTTCATGGCCACTACATCAGCGACCGCCTGCTTGAAAGGGCAGGATGTAAGCACGCTCTTCTACTGGTAGAGCTTGAATTGATGAGCCGTCTTGAAGTCGGAGGCGTTGGCGACTTGGAGGAGCTCGAAGCGGCTAGCGATGAGTGCGTACGCGTCGCCAAAGTACTCGAGCGCGCCTGCGGAGTCGCCATGGCACAGCTTGTGTTCGGCATGCTTCAGGTATGCCCGCGGATCTTCCAGGAATTCGGCTTGCTCGCGTACCTTGGCGTTGGCGAAGGAGGAAGCTGGGATAGTGGGGTTAGAGGAAGGAAGAGGAGGGAGGTGTTCGGTGGGTGCAAAAAAAATATTTTGAACAGGGGCCGCACCAGCCTCATTGTCGGAGTCACTGTCAGCGTTGGCATTTGCTGGAGCGGCAGGGGCTTGCTGCTTCTCCGTGCGGATGATCTTGGATGGGCGAACGTGAAGCGACGGCTCCTTTTCTGCTTCTGCATTTTTAGTCGAAGCAGAAATCATAGTTGCAGCCGCCGTAACAGCAGGCGATTGTTGCTGTAACAGCGCCAACAGTGCCTGCACCTGCTCGCTGGTCAAAGCAGGGGCAGCTGATGGTGGCGCTTGGGACGAAGCAGCCCCGCGGCCTTGCTGGCGTTTGCGCGCAGGACCCGCCCCTCCGCTCGGTGATTTCTTTGCGCTGACGTCAGCAAGCGACGCGTCACCGGCCGCTTGCGTCGCCTGCTGTGCAGTGGCGAGGTCAACATTGTTGACCTCGTTGTTGACCTCGCCAGTGTGCAGCAAGAGGTCGAGGGCCGAGGGAGCGAGGTTTCCTTCGTCTGGCCGACGCTTCTTGTCGGACCCGCCCGCAATTTCGCGAGCGTTTTTCTCGAGCTCCGAAGTAATCGGGGCGTCGACCAGGGATTTTTCGCCTCGGGTTGCGTAAGAGTTGGCCGCCATGGCTGACTGGTTGTGTTTGAGAATGTCGGAGAACAGGGCTGAGGGTGCTTGCCCGTGAGGGAGAGTTTCCAACTTCGCCAGAGTGGCGGAGCGAAAAAGTCGGGATGGGAACTCAATTGAACTTGAGCTGTGAAAAAATGAAAAACGTGGGTGGAGGAAGAATGACCTCCAACCCTCTTTTGTAGTTGGAGAAGGGTGAATAGCGCGCTTCGACGATACCAAATTCTGCGTTACAAGCAGATTCGCATTCATAATACGCAATTTTTAAAGCGTAAACGCTTTAAAATTTTTCCTGTTTCAAAAGCCTTGATGGCACTCGCCAGCCTCACATGCGGTAGCATGGCATGGCTGCCACATCACATCCTACCGGCATGTGTCTCAAAAGAACCCCCAGCCTGCTTCAGCTGGGGCACCCCCACTCGCAGCACAGCAAACACCGGCACAACATGCACCAGCAGCGCTCAATGTACCCCCATCCGTACTTCACAAGCCCGGTTCCTTGATTCCTACCACTCCCTCCGTCCCCACACCATGTGTCTCAGCGCCTTTGAGTCTGCTTTTGAGTCGACTCAAAAGTCGAAGTTCTTGATTCCCACCTCTCCCTCCCTCCCCACACCATGTGTCGCAGCGACCACTTCAGCTCAGGTGCTCCATCTTCCTGCACCGCACACACCCCAAGAGACCAGACACATACAGACACTGCACTCAGTGCACAACCCAACGCTGCCAATGGAAGCATGCCAGTCACTTGTTGCCTACCACCCCATGCGTCCCCACTCCATGCATCCCCACCCAATGCATCCCCACTCCATGCATCCCCACCCAATGCATCCCCACTCCATGCATCCCCACTCCATGCGTCCCCACTCCATGCATCCCCACTCAATGCGTCCCCACTCCATGCGTCCCCACTCCATGCGTCCCCACTTCATGCATTCCCACTCCATGCATCCCCACCAGGGCCCAAAATTGGTTTAGAGGCACCCTTGAAGGTACCGCTACAGAATTACCCTACCTCCCAGGGTGGAATTTTCAGCACCATTTGAAAATCAGGGTGAATTCGTCAAGTATAGTCAATACCCTGTTTGAGTCAGGGTACTAATGCCATCACCATGTCCATTGCGCAGTTAACAGCTTCTACAATTTCAGCTTCTTCTTATTAGCAAGCATACAAGCAAGATCACTACAGCAACGCATCAACAGCCTCTCCTACTTCAGCTACTTCCGCCAGTATTGCACCACTGCACAGATGCAGCAACAGCGGTGGGGGCAGTAACAGCTACAGTGTTCCTTCCTCCCGCGGATGGAGCTGCTGCTGGAGGTGCTAAAGGGGAAGAAACACGGGGGAAAGGACATGGTGATGCTGTCAACTTATACGTATATTTGCATGTAGAAGTTATAGGCTAGAATAGGTGTGTGTTCTTAGAGACTACAACCCAAACCCTATATCTCCCTTGTTCTCTCTTCTTTCTAATCATTCCAGTATTCTAACATGGTATCATGAGTAGGTTAGGTCCACCCACCCACTTCCGCCCCGCGCCCTGGCCTACCGCGCCTCGTCGGCCCCTAGCGTGTCCGCCGGCCCCCAGTGTGCCCGCTGTCCCTTACGCGCCGTGCCGGCCCCTCGCGCCCAGCCGGCCCCTCGCGCCCAGTCGGCCCCTCTCGCGCCTAGTCGGTCCCTCGCGCCTAGCCGGCCCCTCTCGCCTAGCCGGCCCCTATCGCCCAGCCGGCCCCCTCTCGCGCCGTAGCCGGCCCCTCTTGCCTACCCGGCCCCTCGCGCCCAGCCGGCCCCTCTCGCACAGTAGCCAACCCCTCACGCCTAGCAAGCCCCCCCCTCCTCGTGCCTAGCTGGCCCCTCTCGCCTGGCCGGCCCCTCGAGCCTAGCCGACCCCTCGTGCCTAGCCGGCCCCTCGCGCCTAGCCAGCCCCTCTCGCCTAGCCGGCCCCTCTCACCTAGCCGACCCCTCTCACCTAGCCAGCCCCTCGCGCCTAGCCGGCCCCTACCGCCTAGCTGGCCCCAGCCCGCGCACCGCCGGGCCCACCCGCCTTGCCGGCTCCTCTATACGCGCCAGCCCCTCCCGCACCTGCCCGGCCTCTCGCGCGCCTCGTTGGCCCCTCGTGCGCTTCGGCCCCCTTGCGCATCCGTGGCTCCTCACGCACCCACCGGCCCTCCTAGGCCTTCCGCCCGGTCTTTGTTCCGGAGAAAACTGCCGCCACGCCGCTGTACCACCATGCAGCTGAGTATCCATATCCCTGTGCCGCTGTGCCGCTGTGTCCCGGTGCTGCTAAGATTGCGCGGTGACGGACACCATGCTACGCCTTGACGCGGAGGGGCACGCGATCAACTTCGCCGCGTGGCTTATCGATCTTCGCCGGCTCCTAATAGGTCAGCGCCATGATGGGCACTCCCATGCCATGCATGTTGATGGCTTGTTTCCCCGCCCCCCCGCACCTGATCCCCTCCTTGCTGACCCCACCAATGCTGAGAGTGAGGCCTTTGCTGCTGCTGTGCTCGCTCGCGCTGTCTGGAATTCTTGTGCTGTTGTAGCGCAGCTTGCCATTGGTCGTGCGCTTCCCCTATCTGAGCGTCCCCGTTTCACTGCTGTAGCAAATGCCGAAGACTTCCTAGATGCAGTAGTTGCACACTACTCCATGCCTACCTCCACCTCTGCTGGACGCTTGATCCTCCCCATGCTCTTCATCGATCTCTGAGCTTTCCCCACTGTCGCTGATCTCGCCACTCACCTCCGTGCACTAGAGACTAGCTACCGCGCTGCTAGCACTGCCATCCAGCTCACGGCTTTCCTCCCACCAGTCTGTGCTACCCTGTACCTTATTGCCATGCACCTGCCTGACCGCTTAGCCACTGCCCGAGACCACTTCCTTAGCCAGCACCCAAGCGACCTCACCCTGACTGCCTTTGTTACTGCCCTGTCTGAGATAGAGACTCGCCAGCACACTATCGCTCAGTCGAGCGGTGTTGCGGCAGTCCCTATCTTTCAGGGCTGTGCTCCCTCCCAGTGCACGTACGCTAACGTGTCTGCCACGGTCGTTATGGCTGCTCCTGCCACTGAGACCACAGCGGCGGCCTTCTCGCAGCAGCAGCGCCAGCATCGGCGCCGTCGCGGCCCCAAGGGAGGGCGTGGTGGTGGCGCTGGTGGTGGTAGTGGTGGTGGCGGGGACAGTGGCTCGGACGAGAGGGTTGGGGCTGGTGTCCAGGAGCAGCAGCAGATGCAACAACAGCAGCAGCCGCAGTAGCAATCGTGGGACCGCCTCCCGCCGGGGTGACCAGGAGCCCCATGAGGTGGTGGCCACGATGGCGGCCCCTGCAGCTCAGCGTCTACCGGCGGCTTCAGTGCTGTGAGCTGCCAGTACCAGCACCAGACCAGGCCCCTTCGTGGCACTGTGTGCCACCGCCCGCACACGACCGCCCGTTGCTTCCGCCGCCTCGACGACCTCTTCCGTCGCCGCATCAGCCCGGCCCCGGACCTCCCCAACTGGCACAGTCCGCTTCGTCACGGTGTGCCTGTGTTTGACTTAGACATGGATCTGATTAGTTCTGCCCTACATTCTCTGTATGCTGATGCTTCTAGTGTGTCCGGATCTTACTACCCTGTGTTCTCTAGCTTAAGCATAGCACATGTGTATAGTACAGACTCCCCTGCTACGTCAGGCATAGGACCGTTTGCCTTGTCTAGC